GGATGAGACACGAGGAAGACGACAAGGAAATAGAATAAAGGCAAAAATATGACATAAGGACCCAAACTTACACAAAATTAGTAATTTTAGACCCAAACTTCAATTGCACTCAATTAAGGTCTCAAATTACACGCAATTCTCAAATAAGGTCCCAATTGGACGAAAAACTAACTTCCGTCAAATCTACTGCTAACTCCGTTAATGTCCGTCACACTCCACCCATCGGATTCCAATAGCAATTGCATCGGCACAAGTCAGTAACTGAATCATAGAGCCATCGCAAACCTGCATGAAGGAGAGATCTGCTGCAGAGGAAAAGCCAAAAAAGACACAATCATACATATGACACTTGCTGGTGAAGAAGATGAGAATTGCTACATTTGCGGCTTTGATCCACCACTCAGGGCTTGCTTGGTGCAGATTGTGGGAATAGCTTTTTGGCTCTAAAAGCACAAGCTGCACCAAACGGGTCAACTTCCTAAAGTGGCTGCAGCTTTTGAAAAGCTCAGCTTCTCACCTTTCCTTTGCAAAGCCCGGAAGCTCCCAATTTTTACTTTCGCGGGAGCTTCTTGCTTAAACATTTAATGAAATTGACATGGCATTCCCATTTTGTCCTCGCACTTCTTTTTATTTACAAAAAAACCACTATATAAAGGGCCATTTTATACCTCTTCTTTGTTTCCCCTATCTTTCTTTCTTTCTTTGTCTTTGAAGTAGCCGAACATTCCCTGTTCTCCCTCCCTTCTTGCCCACCTTCTTCCAAAGCAGATCGAAAACATAAAAGCATCTCAGTCACTGGCCTTCTTTCTCCCTAACTACTTCAAAGTAGAAAAGCCCATTTCCCCTGTCTTTCTTTCTTTCTTTGTCTCTGAAGCAACGGAACGTGCCTTGTTCTCCCTTCCTTCTTGCCCACCTTCTTCCAAAGCAGATCGAAAATATCAAAGCATCTTAGTCACCGGCCGTCTTTCTCCCTAACTACTTCAAAGCAGAAAAGCCCATTTCCCCTCACCGAAAAATCCCCACCAAAATCCCATTCACCGGCCGTCTTTCTCCCTAACTACTTCAAAGCAGAAAAGCCCATTTCCCCTCACCGAAAAATCCCCACCAAAATCCCATTTCTCCTCCTTCCGTGAGTCTCCTTCCGTGAGTCTCCTTCCTTTTCTCTGATTTTTTCCCCTTTTTTGGTGTTTCCACTACCAATTGTTTCTACATGTATGAATGGTGATTGTTGGTTGGTAGTGAGTTTTGGTGAAAGCTATAATTTTTAATCCCTTGTTATTCCTTCTCTTCTTGTAGATTTGGGCGACAAGACGAAGAAGAAATCGACTGCTGTGACTTTGCAACAGTTCATCTCCAATATGACTCCTTTAATCGATTTGAAGAAGGTTTTTTTTCCCCCCTTTCTAAATTCTCTATTTCGATTTTTCGAACTCTATCTCAGTTTCGGTTGCTATTGGGTCTAGGTTTTCATTAATATTTATCGCCAATTCAGAAATGGGTGACTCTGTAAATCGTCTTCATAATCATTGGGTACCAAAAAGTCGAATTATTTTCATGAATGAAAACACACATATTGGTTGATTATTGTTTAAAATGTAATGCTTTCCAGGTGATTGCTTAGTAATGAACTGCAAAATGACGCAATGATGAGGCTAGCATTTTTCTTTTCTAAATAAAATATCAAAAAATAAGAAAAAGTGGATTTCTTTAAAAAAATAAAAAGTCGGAAGAATGATGTAGAAAAAAAAGAAAGAAAACAAGTTTAAGTTAAAGAATTAGAATACATGCATGTATAATATAGAGTAATTGTAATAAAATTTACTAGCAGGTTACTATGTTGTTGCTGGATATTTTGTGATTCTTTTTATAGGCGACATAGTTTTACTTCAAAATGCCTGATTAGCCTAACGCCTAATTGTGCCTAGGCATGCTTAATTGTTCCTAACTATGCTTAATATATATAGTTTGCATTTCATAAAAATAATTAAGAGGTTAGTGTTGGGAATATTGTCTTTTCAATTTTTTTTTGGACGTATTTAAAGAACTAAATACTAATTAATATATTGAAAAACTTATTGTTAAATTAAAATTTTTATTTTCCAATGATTTTACTATCTCTGCAAAATCTCCTTTCTCCCGCTACACATTGCCTCTTTTTCCAATAGATATACCCTATTTTGTGACTGTGGTAGGAGATGAGGGATCCTAGTTTTAGCATTTTGTTTTTGGTGTTATTATGTGTATCTATACTTCCATTATCCAACATTTGTTTATATGTGTTTGTAGATTTTGTTTTAAGGCCAAAATTATTTCAATATATAAGATGGTTGAAAAAAGGTCAAGGGCAGTGTGGGATGCATTTACAACAAAATTTTTTTGCGAGATATGTGTGGAAGAGGTCATTGCCGGTAATCGTCCTAATAATACTTTTAATAGATTAGGGTGGACAAATGTGGAAAAAAATTTAATGAAAGAACAAACAAGCATTATCTTTATAAACAACTAAGAAATCGGTGGGATACATTAAAAAGTGATTGGGTTTTGTGGAATCAACTCTTAAAGCGAGAAACAGGACTAGGGTGGAATCATGAAAAAGGCACAATTGATGCTATTCCTCAACGATGGGTTGAATTGAAAGCGGTTAGTTGTAGTCTTTTATTGCTAATGATTTTTAGTTTTTTGCATGTGACTTTGTTAATTTTAACTATAAACTTCTAATATGTTATATATTTATTATAGGAGAACAAAGAATATGGTAAATTTGAGCATCATGAATTAGAAAACATAGTGGAGTTGCAACAAATGTTTGACAAAATAGTAGTCACCGGTGAAATTGCATGCACTCCAGTTGCTGGGCCTATTCCTCCAGTACAACAGAATGTGGGGTTTGAAGATGCTGTTGATTTGGAAGAAGGAAGTGGTGATTCTGATGAGGTGAATGTCATCCCAACACAAACTGGTGGAAGCAGTGAAAAGAGAAAGAAAAACAAAATTGGTCCTTCACTTACCGGCAAAGGGAAGAAAGTGAAAGTAGGGGGTGCAGCATACATGCAGAAACAATTGAATCGTCTTTATGATGCAGTTGAAAGTTATACCACAACTACTCTGAGTGATTCATCAAAGAAAAATTATGAAACATATCCTGAAACCACTGAAGAATGTATGGAGATGTTGCTAACTTTACCTGAAGTTGAAGATGATAATGAACTTTTTGTGTTAGGTACTCGTTTGTTTGTGAAACGAGAATATAGAAATATGTTTAGGAGTATAAAATCAGTTAACTCAAAACTTGCTTGGCTACAGCAAGAGTTGGAAAGGGACAAGATAAGGTTTGAGATGGAGAGGGAGAGATTCGGTGGTAGAAGGTATTACTAGGATGTATCTATTTGAGTTTTTAGTATTAAAACAATCGTAATACTTGTATTTGAGATACAAAACTGTTTCCTTTTTTATTTGTATTTTCGTTGTATGTGGACTAATATTATGAATTTATGTCTTTTTCATAATGTTGTGTCTTAAAAATTGGACTAATGATTTATAGTTTAAATAAGGATTCCATATTAATCCTTGTTTAGATTATCACTTATCTTGAAATATTAGGTTTTTTTTTTTTTTTGTTAATTTGTAAAAGTTAATCAAAAGTTAAAATAATATGATTCATACAATTTAAAAATTAATGGTGTCAACATTATCTAAAAGGGAAGGGGCAATTTGCATAAGTTTTGAAATTAAAAGTGTAGATTATAAATAAAAATCAGTTTTGGGTTAAATCATTATAATCAAAGAATTTTAGGGGCTAATAAACATTTTTACCTTTTATATCAAAAGTAGCAATGTGCAGAATCTCAGTAGCTGAGGACACCAACTGAGGACAGTACGCAATGCACTGCCCAAGAGCTGATTTCAATGCATGCGTTGGGACTGTAGGTATGTACTGCGCAAGTGTTGTATCTCAATCACATCAAAAAAGAAAGTCTGTCTTAAGAAAAGATTTCTCAATCACATGGAAGAAAGCCTGCCTTAAGAAAAGATTTTTCAATCACATGGAAAAAAGCTTGTCTTAAGAAACGATTTCTCAATCACATGGAAAAAAAATCTAAACATATATAAAAACACAACCCCGTATTTAAATTACAACACCCTTATGCACTTCTCCCAAATTCAATTTACGTCAAAGAGTTCAAGAGTTCATTTATTGTTCAACTTAAGAGAAAGAAAAAAAGGTATGTTATCTTATTTTTTTTACATTTTTAATTTAGTTGTAAAAATAATTAGATAGGTTTTTTGTGTTCATATGTGGATTCTAATGTTTTTCTTTTTCTTGGTAGATGGATTTAGATCCAAGGTGGAATTATGAAAATAGTGAGGAGTATGAGGTGGAAGAAGAAAATAGTGATGAGGATGAGATGGAGGAACATGCTATAGAACAAAGAGATAAGCAGGTGGAAGCTAGACAAAAAAGAGATAATATCTTTTATTCTCTTGTTCACTTAGGTGCTTCAATATCTTCAAAATATATTTCAAAATATCTTAACAAACAAAAAAGAAGAGTTTCAAGACTTTCAAGTTGGCAATGGTGCAAGAGACATTGGCAACTCCAGGTGAAAGTTGTAAATTATTTAGAATGGAACCACATGTTTTTACAGGATTATGTTCTTTGTTAGTTAGTAATTATGGGCTAACATCAATAAGAGAAATATGTAGAGAAGAATCACTTGCAATGTTTCTTTGGACATGTGCACATAATCAATCTAATTGAACTGTGCAAAATCGTTTTAAACATTCAGGAGAAATAATAAGTAGAAAATTTCAAGAGGTTCTTGATGCAATGGTGAGGTTTTCAAGTGACATTGTGAAACCACCTGATTATAATTTTACCGAAACTCCCAATAAGATTCAACAAGATAGTAGGTTTTGGCCTCATTTTAAAGGATGTATTGGTGCAATTGATGGTACGCATGTTAAAGCCACAATCCCTGAAGAAGACCTAATACCATTTATAGGTCGCAAAGGCAGCCCCACTCAAAATGTGATGGTAGTTTGTAATTTTGACATGATATTTACATTTGTAGTTATAGGGTGGCCTGGATCTACTTATGATGCACGTGTTTTAACCCATACATTAGAAAATCATAAGGATAGTTTCCTCATCCTCTTGATGATAATAATTTTCTATTTATTTTGTGTTATAGTTTTTAAGCACAATTCTTAATGAATTTTTAAGAAAATTTTTCGTATTTATTATCAATAACTTCTCTCTTATATTTTAGGTAAATATTATTTTATTGATGCTGGTTATCCTAATATAAATGGATACTTGGCACCTTATAAAGGAGAAAGGTATCACATTCCTAATTTTAGACGTGGAAGCTAACCAATCGGTTATCAAGAAGTATTCAACCATGCTCATGCTTATCTTAGAAATGTCATTGAACGATCTATTAGGTGTTGGAAAAATAGGTTTGAAATATTGTTCGGCATGCAAAGTTATTCATTTACAACACAGAAGAAGATAGTAGCTGCAACAATTGCACTTCATAATTATATTAGGCAACATGCAATCAGGGATAAAGAATTTGATAGGTGTGATCAAAACTCAAATTATATATCTGAAGTGCCTGTAGAAGAGAGCATAGATCAAGGAATTTCTCAAAGTACTTTTGTTAGTACAATGAAAGATCGTAACATGATTTGACTTAGAGATTTCATAACTGCATCCTTAATGCAAAATCAATCAAGATGATTATTTGTCAAAAATTTTAATTTTAATTGTCTTATTTATATGACTTAAATGTAGTATATTTTATTTTTTAATATTAAAATATAAGCATTTATCTAGTATTTATGTTTTAAAATATGAATAATTAATTTTTGATCA